GCTGCAGCTACCATCATGTTAAAGCTGCTGTGTCATGAGACAGTTTTAACACTTTGCTTTTATACTCTACAGTTACCTGGTGTGTTTATTTAGATGTCTTGTGCCTAGAAATACATATATAGTGCTGCACATATGATCCCTTTGGAAACATTTTGAACAAAAGACAATACTTAGTGGTCCATAATGGTTGAATCCTTCCCTTACAGAATAACACCTGTGCAGCAGCTGATAAAGGATGCTTCAAGTTGATTTTTAAGGTAAAATTTAGTTGCAGAGTTTGAATTTACTGCTTACTTAATGTAAATGAATGTGTATTATTGCACAACTATATACTACTGTCTACTACAACTAGTACCAGAGGGAAATTCTCTTGTTTGGCAGTTTCCTCCAAGGAGTTTCAGTATTCTGGCTCAACACTGAGAGGGAACAGATCAAGGATGACTCTCATGTCTGTTAGGGACATTTTCAGTAGCATTGAGAATCTCCAAGTGAGAACTGGAGGACAAATACTTTACATAGCAGCAATTATATTACAAAAACATCTCACTTATGAAACAAACATGGAGGACTACTCCACACTTTTGTTGGTGTTTTATTTTAACAAGAATGCCAGACATGGTCAGCTTTTACTGGTGTTTAATGATAAATAAGAGATACTAAGAGAGGAAGATAAAGCCAAAGAACCCAGATGTTTATTAGCCTTCCAGAAATGTTTGGTCCAGAGGTCAGTATGGATATATCTTGTGAGAAATTTAAAGTATCACAGGAAAAATACTATTTCCATGTATTGATAAAATGAGCATTTGAACTGTTGCTTTTGATCCAGAATGTTGTTTGCATTAATGATCATCTGAGAGGAAGAGACGAGATGAGTTACTTGTATTTGGAAACATAACAAGGTTCTTCTAACCAGTTTATAGACTATTTTTCTAAAGAAACCCGCTGAAACTGCTGGGAGATCCTGAGCCTGACTCTGTGCTTCAGTCATGTCATCATTCCAGAAGAGGATGAGACTCGGGGTTTCAGTAACACACACACCCACACCACGGTTCACACAATAGGGGAACTTGGTTTCACTAAAACACAGTCTGCAACTAAGCTAAGGGTGGTAATAGCAACAGTTTGACCAATGCAACCAAGAGGAATTGGGAAGGGATACAGAGAATATTTGCCTACAAACACTCTATCTGTCAGGAGAATTATTCAGTTGCATGATGACAATATAAAGGGTCACTTTATATTCTCTCTACACTTATTAAAATTTAAAAAGATGTAAAAATTCTGTGTTGTCTTTTGCACAGTGATATTTAAAATCTAAAATGTATATTAGCTGTCGACAGTTCCCTCATTATATCTGAGTTTTCCTGATAACACATATACTCAGGTGTAGCTACTTTGATTCAACAATTTATGTTTTGTTTTGTATTAAGCAATGTGGAGGAACCATGCAAGACCATTCACATCTACTACAAGATCTTGTCATCCAGGCTTTTAATTTCTTCCATTCAGAGAAAGATCTCTAATTTATAGTACCAATATATTTGTCAGAGGGCCAAGAAGATCTCATCTATTTTAGATGTAATAAAAAATACACCTTATTCAGAGCAAGTTGAATTCAAACTAAAGGAAAAAAAAAAAAAAAAAAAGGATAAATTATAAATCTAAGTGCAGTGTGAAATCAAACACAGAAGCTTATTTCCTATACCTTTATAATTAATGTTCAATTCTGTGACTCTTTTCAATTCAAAACCTCTCAATTGTTAAGAGATTTAATGATGCCTCATAATTTACAGCATGCTATACTGTTAATGTTCACTGATTATTTTACTGGAAGAAGCACATCTTTATATAATTTATCACCATCATTTTTTAAAATAAGCATGCACAATTGATCTTTCTTCTGTTTCGCATAAAACTATTATGGGATACTAAAACTACTGAGCAATATGGTCATTTTAAAGAGTGCTGTGTTTATAAAATACCTGTCTTTCTATCTGAATGACCAGAAAGTTTTATGAATCATGTCTAAGATGAATGTCTTCAAAGGTTCCATGAATATTTATGGTGAGAGATAGATAGCAATAGTAGTACCCACATATGTGAAATTTTTTTTTTGTGATGTATTTAATTTAAAAAATCCACAAGAAACACTGTGCAATGTGGTGGAGTTTATCCTGTGTCCTTAAGGCTGAAAGCAGAAGAGCTTGAAAAAGATCAGCCAAAAACTCTTGTCACTCTCCTCACTAAGCTGGATTCAAATCATATTAAATTCTACATTGAACCTCCAAATCCTATTGAAATCAAGACAAATAACTTCACATCAAGCTTATGACCTCTTTTTAAACATTCACTTTCTTAGATCCCTTAAGACATGCTTGATAGCTAAAATAGATTTTTAAAGTGTGAGTCTACCATGGTCAAAGGAACAATGAAGCAATGTGCTATTTGCCTCTTTGGGTTGGCGACCTGATACTACATTATGTGTGTACAGATGCACACCAGTAGCAGTACAATGAGCAGAGCTTGGCCTCCTCAGTGCACAAAACCTATGCAGCTACTGCAAAAAGTTTGGTTGGGAGGGCGTCCCTAGCAAGGACTTCAGTGTTGATTTGCCTGTCCCACACTCATCTAGTTCTTTTGTGTCTGAAGTCCTTTCCTCCTCTACCAATTTTAAACTAATCATACTGTTTAAATGCTATCCATAACACACCAAGGTTTTATCAACAAAATTTTAAAAGTTGCAACTATAAATTCCCATGATTTTTGGTAGATTTGAAAAGTTTTTGTGTGATTACAGGGGAGTGCTAATACACAGATGAAGGGATAAATTTGGGCACAATTTCTCAAGAAGTATTCAGAAATGGCAGTTAAAGATACCACTTCCTGAAATATAAGTCAGGATGATAGGAGTTCCTTCCTATAGGAAGATCTGCTAGTGAACAACGCAGTGCCTGTGCTCCAGAGGAGGTCTAGGAGGAGCACAGACGGGGAGACTTAATGCAGTGCTGAATGGCAAACAAAGGCACCGGAACTGCCCAAGATGAAGTGCAGCTTTCAAAGCACTGTTTCAGGAACCAGCAGTGATACTACAATGGCAAAGAACCAGATCCCACAAGCTGGTGTACATTAAAATATGCAAACACAGTGGTTTGTGGAGTTGGACAGTCCAGGACAATAAAAGAACAAATTGACGTGGGAAAGACTACAGTGGAGAATAATATGTACTTGCATTGGGCAAAGAAGGGATTGATCCTTCTTGTATTTTCAATACACAACTAGTTAACTTAAAACTTGATAGGACAGAGAGGAGGCAGAGATTGCTATAATTGCCTAAGACAAAGGGAAAGAAAAAGCCATTCACAAAATCTGTTGCATAAGCTCACCACCACTATCTAATCTAAAAGCTAATCTAAAAGCTTCATTTTCTAGAAAAGGTACTTAAAGATGTTATATTCTTCCCTTCAGAATTTGCTAACCATCTGTCCTTATCAGGTTTGCAAAACAAGAGAAAGTATGGAGTAGAGATCTCCTGAGTTTAGAGGAAAGAAGATCAGAAGCACATAGAAAAACAGGAATTTTGGCATTGTTTGTGTAAGTATGGTACCAAAGATCAGAGATCTCTATGGCAGCAAAGAGGAGGACTAGGCTCTGAGTTAAACAGTAGACACCCAGCAACTAATGTAAGGCAAGAGATGGTCCAGAGAGAGGAGTGCACTGCTGTCTGAATGCACACAGGGAAAGATTCAATAGCTACAGTTCAAGAATGAATTTGTCAAAATGGGAGTGAAAAGAGAGAGGAACTATCAGGAGAGCACGGGAACAGCTTCAGCTATCACTGTACAAAGGTATAGTGTAGTGAGCCTGTGGAAGAAGGTTGTGCTGGGAATACACATTATTCAGTGTTGTCAACCAGCAGTGGGTGCTAGAGTTAAAATACATAGGCATGAAAAAACACGGCAGAAGCGCAGATCATGAGATGTTTTACAACACACTGATTTTATGAAGGGTGGGAGGATGTGGTCATGTATACAGAAAAGCAGCAAGCAAGAAAAGGTAAATAGAAAGTTAATAGCTAGAAAGAATATGTCAGAAGAAGAGATTGTCTGCCCTCTTGGCAAAGTGAAAAGCAGTAGGCAGTGCAGGACAGACCTTAGAAAGTCTGCTGCAGGAAGGAGTAGGGGCAGTGGAAGGGAGGGAGTAAAGAATCTGCTGTATAAGGGCAAAAGTGTGGTCAGGAAAATCCTGTCAAAGGAAATAGTAGAAAAATATTAGGGGGAAAAAGTAACCTAAAACATGAAAAACAATCTGATACGTCTGTGGCAAGAGAAAAGGAATGGCACTTGTGAGAAGCGCAGCAATGTCATACTGAGAACAATGCAAAAGCCCAAGGAAGAGGCATGTCAAGAAGAACAAAGGGAGCCCCATGCCTTCCTTTGGAAAGGGGCAACTGAAAAGTATGTGTTTTTCTGTCCTTCTGCAGCCTGTGAACCTTGGTCATTGCAAAGAGACTATCGCTGAAAATCTAGTAGAGACACACAGACAGCTGGGGAGAACAGAAGGAATAGAAAGAAGCTGCTGCTGGAAGAGCAGTAGTGTCACTTAGAAAACGAGCACTGTTAGTGTTGGGGGTGGGAGAGGGAGAGCAGAAGACTTCCTCCTCTGAAAATTAACCAGACTGATCTAACCTGCAACTTTCCCAGTGTTACACATTTGAAAATTCAGAAACAGCTTCTTGAGAGAGAGCATGCTGCTACTGAGATAAAATAGTCTGCACTTGATACAGTTTTTTGAGGAACAGAGCTCTTCTGAACAAGTAGGGGTAGCAGTTGCTGAGGATCATCGGTAATAAAAAGATAACTGCCCTTAGTGTCCCAATATTTCAGCATACAAATTTTCTCACAAATGCTTTCTTTGCCAAATCAGGGGTGATGTTCTCAAGGGCCAACATAGGATAATCCTTTGTCAGTCTTAGCCCACCTCTCAGCATCGCCTACCTGAAAAATGCATTGCATGTATATCTCTTGAAGCAACTGTCTCCTTCCAGAGGCAAATCATGGAGGAGGGACTGCAGCTGAAACAGTTGTCCAACCATGTACTTTAACTCTCTTCTTCCACAGGAAAGTCTGAGGATTAAAACCAATAATTCAACATTTCTTTATTATCTGAGAGGACATAATGTATGAGTCTGTAGCTGGTTGCTATTCCCCAGGTATTTAAAATAATTTCACACAATCACAGAATCATCTAGGTTGGAAAAGACCTTGAAGACCACCTAGTCCAACCATTAACCTAGCACTGACAGTTCCCAACTACACCATATGCCTAAGCACTGTCATTCCTACTCTTAAACACCCCCAGGGATGGGGACTCCACTACCTCCCTGGGCAGCCCATTCCAACACCTAACAACCCCTTCTGGAAATAAATGCTTCCTAATATCCAGTCTAAACCTTCCCTGTCCTATCGCTTGTTACTTGGTTAAAGAGACTCATCCCCAGCTCTCTGCACCCTCCTTTCAGGTAGCTGTAGAGGGCGATGAGGTCTCCCCTCAGCCTCCTCTTCTCCAGACTAAACACCCCCAGTTCCCTCAGCCGCTCCCCGTACGACCTGTGCTCCAGACCCTGCACCAGCTTCGTTGCCCTTCTCTGGACACGCTCAGGTCATTCAATGTCCTTTTTGTAGTGAGGGGCCCAAAACTGAACACAGGAATCGAGGTGCGGCCTCACCAGTGCCGAGTCCAGGGGTCAGATCCCTTCCCTGTCCCTGCTGGCCACGCTATTGCTGACACAAGCCAGGATGCCATTGGCCTTCTTGGCCCCCTGGGCACACTGCTGGCTCCTGTTCAGCCAGCTGTCAATCAACACCCCCAGGTCCCTCTCTGACTGGCAGCTCTCCAGCCACTCCTCCCCAAGCCTGTAGCGCTACTGGGGGTTGTTGTGGCCCAAGGGCAGCCCCCGGCATTTGGCCTTATGGAAACTCCTCCAGTTGGCCTCAGCCCATGGCTCCAGCCTGTCCAGGTCTCTCTGCAGAGCCTCCCTGCCCTCGAGCAGATCAACACTCCCACTCAACTTGGGGTCATCTGCAAACTGACTGAGGGTGCACTCGATCCCCTCATCTAGATCATCAATAAAGATGTTAAACAGGAGTGGCCCCAACACCGAGCCCTGGGGGACACCACTCGTGACCGGCCGCCAACTGGATTTAACTCCTTTCACCACAACTCTCTGTGCCCGGCCATCCAGACAGTTTTTTACCCAGCAAAGCGTGTGCCCATCCAAGCCATGAGCAGCCAGTTTCACCAGGAGAATGCTGTGGGAAATGGTGTCAAAGGCCTTGCTAAAGTCAAGGTAAACAACATCCACAGCCTTTCCCCCATCCAATAAGCAGGTCACCCTGTCATAGATCAGGTTTGTCAGGCAGGACCTGCCTTTCATAAACCCCTGCTGACTGGGCCTGATCCCCTTGTTGTCCCTCATGTGCTGTATGATGGTACTCAGGATGAGCTGCTCCATCAGCTTCCCGGGCACCAATGTCAAGCTGACAGGCCTGTAATTTCCTGGATCATCCTTCTGACCCTTCTTATATATGGGCATCACATTGGCCAATTTCCAATCAGTCGGGACCTTCCCAGTCATCCAGGACTGCTGGTAAATGATGGGAAGCGGCTTGTCAAGCACCCCTGCCAGCTCCTTCAGCACCCTCAGGTGTATTCTGTCCAGTCCCATAGACAAGGACAAAGATGTCATTGCAACAATGGGAATGCCTAGATTGGCTTGTTCAGAAAGACAAGAGAAATTAATCTCTGAGCAGAGAAAAGCTTCAGATCCTGGTAAGAACAGCATGGGAACTGAATTATACTGCTCCCAGTAGTGAACTCCACTACCAGCTGCAGGGTAAGCGTGACAGACTCTTATGGGGCTGTTCAAGGAGAGACAACCCCAAAATGTTTAGCTGAAATTGGTGTGAGATGCCATGCTGAAACAGCTCCTTGTGCAACATCATTCTACTTTCAACTGGACATATTCTAAACTTCAAAAAAAGAAGTCTAACCTAACAATATAGTTCCACCTTAAAAATGATGAGAGCTTTGAAAAGCTTCCTGTTCTGAGAACCTGAAGCAATGCCAGCAACATCTCTAAAACACACTGTCAGCAATATCCTCTGTCTCAGTTCAAGAGCCTGGAGACAGTGCTGGAGTACTTGGAAACCCTCCTTGACCTTTTGAACTCTCTTGACATGAGGAAAAAACCATAGACTACTTTCAGAACTGCATCCCTGTACATGTACTCCCTAGAAAAGGGCTGGAGTGGTGATCAACCAACTGCAAAACCTGACACACCTCTTAAGGCAGGAGGGCTCTACATGGCACTCTCCCATGAACAAGTTCTTCTTGGCTTCACCAAGAGAGAAGCCATTTCACACAGACCAATGGAACATGTCCGGGTGCTGCAGAGAGCCCCAAGACAGGATGAGCAATGTCCTGTAAAAATCACCTATGCCGATACATAAACCACTAATGCATTTTTAGTGTGTCCTGACCATAAAGTCAGGGTTAGTTTTTCAAAAAGGTTGATCCTACTTAAGTCCTAAGAGAAAGTACTTAGAACTGCTCACCACCTGACAGCTACTTCTGTGGTGCTTAGAGAAGAATTTGGAGAGAGCACTATTAAAGCAGACTAAAACTTTATGGTTAACTTTTCCCTTTAAGAAAAATTTTCCCTTCAGCTTCCTACTTAGAGTACTTTTTTATAAAGGCATTTGAAGGAACTTCTGAATCTTCGTTTCCATCGCTCATTGCTTTCTGTCCATTTACCAGCCTTCCTTCTTTTTGGCCTACCTTCATATATACACAGCACTTATAAAACTGTACTCAATATCAAAGGTTTTCAAAAATGAACAAATACTATTTCTTACATACCTCAAGTTGTTGCTATTTAGGTCTTCCATTTTTTTTTTTCCTGAGTTTGAATTACTGAAAAATTCCAACACAATTCACACACTCAGTATTTATCTCTACATTCAGGACTGTGGTTCTTGAGATTTAAAGAGACCTTTCCTCTCTCTTAATCTCAAAATGAATGAATAAATAAAAACTGAAATCCGACCATTTCATACACATGAAGATTGTGAGTAAATTCTGTCACTTTTTTTTTTTGTAACACTGGTTCATCCAAAACATCTATTTACTTTCACTTTAACAAATAATGCTCACAATATAATGCAAAAATATCTCCCAATTTAATTTTGTATAACATTATGAAAGCTTCACTTCTTCCTAAGATTTGTCTAGAAGAGACAAAATATGGCATTGGTAACATTTGAAATCTCACGGATAAAACATAAATGAAACAGTGGGCATTTTTTTTAAATTCACATGTATCCAGGGAACAATGAAATCAGTATAATGTTACACATATCTATTCAGCCTTTATCAACAAAGTCACATATATTTTACCATAAAGAAGTAGATTACACAAGAGTAGCTTTCCAGTCTGTCACCCCCAATCAGGCAGCTGTTTCATGCATTTCTTTGTGGAAATTAATTGACCGTCATTGCAATGTTGTTTAGGGGGATTTATTATTATGTTGTTGTCTTATTTTTCCTTTTCTATATCCAATATGGAATTGCTACATTTAATTTTGAGGGAGACATCTGAGAGCACTGATATGAATGACTTCAGAAGGTGAGGAAAATAATTTTCCTGGAACTCTTATGTTCCGTCTTCTCATTCAAATTTGAAATATGGTTTGCAGAAACCTGACTTATGTGGACAGGGAACACACCCCAGAAATTAAATTCATTACTAAACACAGCAGGGAGCCCTAGAACCAAGAGGTACTGCCCTTCTTCATTACTGTGGGCAGAAGATGACATTTTGGTGGAAGTTACAAAATTATTTCAGTCACATGATTTGAAAAATGAAATATCCCAGGGGAAACTCTGCATGTATATTAAGAGTGATCTATTCCAGACACCTGTGTGTATCTGAGGTTCAAAAGGAAGTGAGGTTTTGAACTACAATGATGAAATACCACACAAATATGTATTTACACTCTTAATTTAGATTTACCATACTTACAGTACTACTACTACTATCAGTTCAACAGTGAAAAAGTAATTTGCCAAGAAAAATAAAGTAATATCCTTCAATTTTTCTTGTGTAATATTCCAGTGTATTCCTGTGTAATTCAAACACTATTTGAGTTCAAAATCAACAATATCTCATCCCTGGTACCTCCTGTAAAAAGTAAGATCTCCCAGTGTATTTAAGAATTCAAAATGATATTAAGCAGAAGTTATTGGTAGCCTTGGCAGTGTCGGAATTGCAGGTATAATACCATGAAAGTGCAAATGTAAGCTTTGTGTTCAAAATGACTGAAAAACAAGACTGTTGAATTGTTGAAATAAAACTGAGTTAGTAAAAATGGCAAATTTTGGGTTCAACATTGTCATGGAAGTGATTTAATTTTCACTATAAAAATATATTTGTAGTATAGGAAATAGTATCTAGTATTATTTTATTTATTACATAATATTTATTACCAAAATGTTTCTCTTTTTGTTACTTGGTTAGTCTTGACAAAACAAATATTTGTAATTCTTTTAATATGGTGGAGGAGTACAGATCAAGTGATTTGTAGTGATCACATGACATATTTTCATAACCCAAATCAGAAGAGTTTTTTAGTATTATTTCAGACATGTTATGAAATGCTATTTGTTAGGCTTCCAAGGGTAAATCAAAGGTCTTACACCAAAAGCCCAAACCTGATACCTTATCTTCATAATACAGCTTCAGGTGTTTCCTCCTGTGCTGCATCCTCATTTGGGAGCCAAGATAAATTACTCTGCTCATCCTGCAATCAAACTAATTCTTAAATGTCTTTTGGCAATACATCTGACCCTTATTTACTCTCAGTTGGGATGTTGCTACACATTGAACTGGACTGATGCAATCTCTACGTTCCCCGCGAAGCTACTCTTTTCTCTGGAATTTCAACATATGCTTTGCCGTCCTCCCAATAACTTGTCTTACTGGAACCAGAACTATGAGATGGTTGCAAGTACAGTAAGCTAAATACATTCTTTTGAGAAGAATGGCATATAGAGTAACAAAGAGCCTTTAGAAATTCCAGGAATTATGCTTCATTTTAATCAATTTTAGACTGACTTTCTCTTATCAGAATTGAGATCCAAGGGGAAAAATTATTTCGACTATCAATTAGTTCTAAATAGAAAATGGCATAACTTATTTTATTATTATTGTTACTGTTAGCATGGAAGAAGACTTACATGGTCACAGTCTGTGCAGCTCTGTCAGGCCCCATAAGAACCTGGATGACAAGTTAATTAAACATAACAAAAAATAAGTTCTCCTTTTTGTTGTTAATTCCAATGTAATTTATCAGTTTCATTTCTTACAGAACTGATTGTCATTCTAAAGAACTAATGAATAGTTAAGCTTGAGAAATTATGTTAATTGCATTATCTGTTTAACTTTGTATAAGCTGATATGTCTCCAATGAAATAACTTTATTTCAAAAGTGGTCTTGCCTAACTGGTGATTTAATATTTTTGGTAGACAAACTAGTCTCTGTGACAGAAAATTCTGACTCAGGTGTCACCCTCATAGAACATGTGACCTGTGAAATAGAAAAAAAAAAAAAAAAAAAAAAAAGAGTGTTTATAGGTTGGGGTTTTTTTTGAAAGCTATTAAATATGACAGTAACACGATGGAAATAGTAGTTCTGCTCATTTGAAAAATTTTACGCATACATGTTCTCTACACATTAAGTCAAATGATTTCTTATTAAATTATGTGCAATATGAAATCAGCATATAATCTGTTTCACAGTGTTTTTTTCAGTATTTTAAAATATGTGTTAATTTGGATTTGCCAAGTTTCTTGGGCTGGTGCAGAATTTCTATGTAAGGTGAGCTTTCTTATCAAATAAATTATCAATTTTCCACCTGATTATTTTGAAATTAACATTTATCAACATACATGTATCCATGTTTCATTTGTTGCTAATGGCCAACTCTTCTACAGTTAGAGAGATAGTTAGACAGCTAACAGTTTTTATTTCTTTCCATTTTCTTCCATGACAAACAGAAATCACCAACTGCATTATAAGTAAAAGCAAGCTGAAGTGATCAATGTTATAATTCACAATGCAAAAAATATACCAGTTTATGTTCTCTAAGGTTAATCCTTGAGTATACAGGAATACAGCATTTCATAACAAACAAACAAACAAACAAACAAGTCACTTTGTCACTGTCTGGAAACACTTAATAGATTACACTATCTTAAATAGCAGTTTGACAAAATGAAGTATTCATCTGACATTTATTATATTATTGTTTCATGCCCGTTCCTTTACAGACTGATTTTAAAATGTGCATTTATAGAATCAGATTTTTCTTTTTTAAAGCACCCAAGTGTGATAGGAATACCAGCCTCCTACACCTCTGCTGTTTCTTGATGCTTATCCAATAAAAGAAAACATAAAGTAAATCTTCTGTCTTACACCTACATACAATAGACCTTAGGAGGAAAACATAGTTGCTTTCTTTAACCTCCGGTTACAGGAAGATGAAAGGTAAGTGTAGCTGGGTTTAGTCTCTCATACTATCCCTTCCTTAAGGGGTCACAGTCCTTCTTCTCCATTGCCATCCTCTTCCCACAAAGGACCATCATGAAAATGAATTTTTCAAAGGTCCATCTTTAGTTCAAAAAGCACTGCTCTAGGCAAGTTTGCTCCTTACCTCTGTTATTAGTGTAACTAGAACTAAGAAAATATAATCTTTAGCCTTGGCTATCTCATAAGCCTGGGTACCTATCAAAATCTTCCAGCCTTGCTCATAGCTTGCTCAGTTTTAGAAAAAAAAAGGTTTATAACATCTGACTTATTTGATCTGGCTCTAAGAGCAAATCAATAACTGTCTCCCATTGCAGTTTCTTATGTTATTGCTGTAAGAGGCAAAGGAAAGACACAGAGAGCTACCCAAGGTTCCTTTGGATGTGCTAGCTCCAGTGCCAGACACAGCATATCTGCATCACCATTGTGCTGCCATGTGTGTCCAGGCTAATGGGTCTTTGTTGAGAAGCAAAAATAGATGGGGCTTCTGGGTCCCAAGCTAGTATTGTGTGGCTGCAAAAAATATATGTACACGTATGTAGACATATTGAATCAGTTACGGTTATCCTGGAAATCCCTACTACATCATTATTTCTTGGTACCTTATATCCTTTCTTGCTTTCAGACACTAATGGTGAGTCATAATGGGAAAAGAAACAGGATACTAAACCCCACATCCTTAAATTCATACATTCAGTAAGTAATATTTTAACAGAGAATTTGTTATTTCCGGATCCTAAGTATTAGTGAGAGAGCACAGTCTGCTTTACACTCTCTTCTTTGCTCATCCTGAAGATTATATAATGAGAAATTCAGAAACAAAAATCAGTAACTGCCAATCAAATCCTTAATGACCAGCAGGTGTTTGTGTCATGAACGTACAGTTGAGCTATTTCTTTTGAGATTAAAAATACATTTTTATGTAGTCATGTATAATGGAGATGGTTAATAAAATTAACAGATTTTTATTTCCTATTCCTCTAAATATCTCCGATTCAGTGAGCATTGCAGTGAGGTTCAGTACTTTACCATAGTAATGGTAAATGCTGTTTTTTTTATGCCACCCACTCTATAACCTCAGAGGAAGAAAAACAAACAAACAAACAAAAAAACCCAACAAACAAACAAACAAAAAAAAACCTCAAGGTAATTCAACTGAGAGATTTCCTACATGAAATGAAAAGATTTCCTACTCCTCTCTGTCATAAGAACTAGTGCACCAACTGAGAGAGGGAGAGAGAGGAATTGCAGCTTTCTAAGTCCTTACAATGTTACTAAAGAAAACAATTATATCATAGAGTACTGTGCTTGTCTCTTTATGAAAGACAAGGACCTGAACTCTGTTTTCAGGAACAATGTGTTCAATGATCAGAGCCCAAAGTGATCTGCCAGCAGCCCAAACCTCAAATGGGCTGTAACATGGAATTTCCATTCCATGAGAATATTAACATTTTTAACCATCTTATGAACCAGAATAAGCATATATCCCTCCTAGGAGAAAAGGTTTCTAAAATATTATCTGTGCTTTACAAGACCAAACAACATTTTTGTAAATTGACTAAGATTTTCAGTTTGCCACCCCACCAGTGTAAGCTAAGACAAAGCAGACTAAAAGTTAAAAAAATCCACATGAAAAAAAACAATTTTGTATTTGACATAGTGGGTATCTTCTGGCATCTTCTAACTTTATTTGCATCAGTTACTACCAGCCCTCTGTACATACAGAAAAACAAATACAATTTGAAGACTCTACAGAAAGATATCAATATCCTAGTGAAACTTGAACCATATTTAAAAGAAAAAAAGATAATTCAAAACACAGTGCCTTTTTAGAGCAAGTCCTTCTACATATTTTCAATCATACATAGCAGATAAGAAGTTTTACTTCTGACTGCACCACAGAAACAATTTTAACAAAGGAAGTCAAAGGTAAGTGCATATTGACCATCCTAACAATGCTGGAGTAACTAGATTTAGATGTTAGAAGAATGAAGTCCTATATTCCAACAGTAGTACTGTCAATGGAAGTATTGCATACCATTCTGTTTCAGCAAACTTATCTTTTCCTACCTTTAAGCATATTTGTACCTTTTGCCCTCCAAGCACTTCTTTACATAGTCATTGTAAACCCAGAATTCTTCTTAGGTGTAAATATTTTTTATGCATGTTCTGCATTCCCCTGTGGTCCTTCCTCCCCTCCATACAGCACATGCTGCCCACTTCAACAGGATTTTGTGGAGAGGAGAGGAGAGGAGAGGAGAGGAGAGGGAGAGGAGAGATATAGTCACTGTACCATATTGTTGGACTGGAAGGTGTGCAGGCATCCCTGAGGAGACAGTGCTTTTGGCAGCTACAAAACAGCTTTTCAGATTAATGTTTAAGAGGTACTTATAGAAGGTATAGTGAAATTACACCACCTTTCAAATTTTCAGTCCATTTAACAAAGTGCTTCCAGTTTCCATTTTATATCAGGTGAAACAATGAATATTGAACAAAATGTTAATCTCTATCATGAGCTTTTTATTAATCTCTTTATTCAGAGCAGAGCATTTATTAAATAAAGGACTTAGAAGAATGAAAAGCAATGTAGAGCCATTGGCTTTTGACAGTTCTTGTTCATTTAATTATTTTTCTCTTCTGAGTATATTTCAAGATGCTGCTGAACATTAAGAAAATAAGTTTTAACTTTGTCTTCCCAGTTTTCTCATTTTAATAGATACTCTACATCTCCTAAATGTGTGTAAATTCCTCTTTTATGCCTGTCTTTTTATCCCATCATATAGTATAGTTCTGCAGTTGTTTTCATAAAGAGGTCACATAGGAAAAAAACAAGGAGATACAGAAAAGCTGGTGAAAATCAGGTGGAGGAATCACTGTGGAACTGATTCTGTTGGGAGAGGGGAGAAAAAATCCCCGTATGCCATAATACTTTGTTTTGTTTTTTTCTCCAGGAGTCAGCGTTTCAGTCAGGCTTTTCTCTAGCAGAAAGCATGCCCAGTTTGTCAGTAAATCTGATAGTACCTTGTAGCCAGGATATGACCCATAAACCAATCTGACTTGCAAGTTCAGACTTCCTGCTGGTCTGAATCAGCACTGCTTCAATGGAGCTATACTATCTCTTCACTTCAACATTTTCTTAAACTCTCTTATTAGAAAAAAAAAAAAAAAAAAAAATTATATATAACAAGGACAATGTTTCTAGCTTTTCAAAAAAATGCAAAATAGCATCACTGATGGTCCCACAAAGACTACATTCAAACAAGAGTCCTAAATACATGATTTAACTATTCCCTACTTCATGAAAGGACAACTCCTGGGCACACATTGGCCTCTCTCCTTATTCACAGCTTGCTATGGCATGCAAGGTTAAGGTGGATGTGGCATGTAGATGAGCCAGCTCCCTAGCCAGGATAACTGGGAAAATCAGGAAGCACTGTAGGGTAAATCTTGCCAATGGTTTAGATTTATCCTTAGTGAACCTGTTCTCTCATATATTTTAAAGAAACATGCAGGCGTACTGCAAATTTGTTGCTTTAAATGGGCCAAGAAATCATAATGAGATATTAGTCTACCATATGCTAAGTTTCGTCATGACCATCTCAAAGTGTTTGTGGGTTTGTTCTTGTTTGCTGTTCAATTGTCAATTAAAATTACAGAAGTGCTCAGTGTGACCAGGCATCTGCAGCCAATTATTTGTAAACCATACAAGGAGAAAACTGCAAAACAAATAAAGGAATACAGCAGGCACATCTGGAAAACAGAATGTGTATCCAAATGCTCTAATGCAAGACACTGTACAATAAAGCATACCTACAGAATAAAACATCAGATTATGAAGCAAGTAAGCAGCTTTTTTTGTTTTCTTTCTCTTCTATTAAAAATAAACCTAAACAGAGAGATAAAGCTGTTTTCTCCAATTTCTCGTACATATGCACTAGCACAATGAAACAGGACAGATGACATGAACAAACACCCGACTAACTAAATAGCAGTGGAATTTCTGAAAATAGTATATATGCCATTTTAAGTGCTCAGTGCAGGTTCACTTAACATGCACACACATGCACAGATGTTCATATACAAACACAGAAAAAATAAATTAGCAAGTTTTTTGAAGTGAGATTTCTTATCTGTGAAAATAGGCTGTCTGCATTTGCCTGCTAATGGATTTGATTCAGATAATAGGCTACAGTTTTTTCATACCAGTAGAGCATTGCTGATTTAAAGAGAGAAAACAGGTCAAAACTGAAACAACAGAAAACTTCTCTATGTAATAACTAGTTTTGCTCAGAATGAAATATTTTCTCTGTATAAACCACTCTATCTTTTAAAATCTATAGTACAGAACTCAGGGAACATTTTGTCACAAATTCCTATTTCCTATTCTTCATTTTCTGGTTAACATTGAAGAAGAATCTACTTGAAGGTCAGCTGTTTCAAAGAGCTGTCCATAAAGCTCTCCTTTTTATTCTTTCTGGACTTATTTTACAGCAGTTTCATGTCCCAGACACAATAAGGACTCATTCTTCATTGTTCTCCAAAGTCACAGTAAATAATAAGAATCATAAATACAATCATATGTATAACTCAAGTCTGTAAACACAGTAACTGTGGTGCCTTGCTGAAGCATCTGTCAATAAATATATTTCTTGGGTTTAAAGCCTATTCAAAAGGTAAATGCTGAAAAATATCCCATATTTGGCAGTTTAGATAATAATTCAATTTTCTGAATCTCCCCCTGGCACTTGTGGAGTCTATTTTGAGTCTCTCCATGTAAAGCTTAGTCGTTTTTATATCACTACCCAAATGATCAAAGCTGGAGGGAAAGCTTTTAGTCCTACAGAGGATAAGGAAGCTCATATTTTATCTGACTCTTCATGATGGGACTCCATGCTCAAACTGATCTCATTTGCTCGGATATGGCAAGAAGGAAAATACCTCAGAATCAGAGCTAAGAATATGTTGGCATCACTGGAAATGAGGAAAGTTAAGTATAAACAGGGGGAAAATATTTATTTATTTATTTATTTATTTATTCACTCATATTTTCTCTTTGACATTTCATAAGTATATGTCCCTGATGGGAAATATTTAAGCCAATAAAAATTTCTACCAGCTTCACTTTGTCCCAGTGTTTTACTAGTGCTTAGCTCTGGGATTTTCCATTATAATTTACTAAAAAGGATTGAAAAATATTTATGTTGTCAGATGGCATTCAGATGAATGGGAACACATTGTTGCTTATGAGCAGTACTAAGTGTATCACATCCACCTTTCTCACGACATCTGCACTAAGTTTTTTTCATCATAGAAGGTCACCAGGTTGGATAAGAAGGAATTTCCATTGGTAAACCCGAGTTGACTGTTACTAATTATGTCTCTGTCCTTCCCATGTTTGGAAATCAATTCTGTGAAAATGTGCTTTATAATCTTTCCAGAAACAGGTGTGGCTGACTGTCTTTTTTGATTTCACCCAAAGTGTCAGACCAATGCTTACATACACATCTTTGCTGGTCCTTGTTTCCACCTCCTATATTCTCACATTTTCCTCTTGAATTCAGAAGCCTCTGCCAAAATTCCCAGTGTTCCTCCACAATGGGACGATTTGTTCCTAACCTTCTAATAAACTTTTCTCAAAAACCAAACAGGTCTCCTGGGTACTTTTTCTGTTGGTCAGTTTCCCCCAGGGATTCTGTCCGGCAACTTCCAGAATAGCCCAAAGTCTAATCCACAGCTCAGAGCCCTAACTCTGCTATTCGCCTGCTCAGTATTCCTCTGGGTCCAGAACTCCACCATTTTCTCATTGCTGCAGCCCACCCTGCCACCTGTGATCATTTCTGTCATTCTTCCTTGTTTGTAAGCACTAAGCAAAGAGAGCATTACTCCTGCTCACCCTCTCTAACTTTTTCATTAGGAAATTGTCACCGACACAATTTTGAAACTTCTTGGATTGATGCACAACGCCATGCTGCACTCTCAGAATATGGCTGTGTGGGTGCCATCTCCCATGAACACTAGGGCCCTGTCTTGGTTTTGGCTGGGATACAGTTAATTTTCTTGAGCTGGGAGAGAGCATAGCCAGAGCACCTGACCCAGATATTGGCCAGGATAGAGTTAACTTTCCTTGAGCTGGAAGGTGGCACAGCTGGAGTGCTGGGCCCTGATGGGCCTTTGGAGTATTCCATATCATGAGATGTTATGCTCAATATATAAAGGAGGCGGGTTCTCCCTCACTTCTCATCAGTGGGATCTTTGTTCTGTCGGGATCACTGCTGGGAGTGGGCAGCAGGTAGTGAGCAAACACATTGTTCATTAGCATTTGGACTTCCTATTTTTTCTGTTGTTTTTTTACCATCACTAAACTGTTTTTTATTTCAACCTACAAGTCTTTCCTCTTTGTTCCTCATCTTGTTCCTTTTTGTTTTACCAAGCAGGGGAAAAGGTGAGTGACTAGCTGTGTAGTGTTTGGGTGCTGGCCAAGTTCAAACCGTGACAGGCCTGTGGTCAGGACCCTTCCACTAATTCTTGGTGGGAACCCAAATCCACTTCAGGCAGTTTGCAGCATATCCCAGTGATGATACTGCTAAAATTGCATCATTTTGACCTTGGTCAGGTCTTGACAGACATGCCTTCCAATTGGCACTGGAGCTCAATGCAGTCAAATCATGCCTTTCCATAGAGCACAATTCCCCTTCCTCTTGTTATTGCTCAGCCCTTTCAAAGAACCTATACCCACCAAGAACTGTGCTCCACTCACATGTGTCAGGTCCCCATGGCTCCCATCACATCATAGCCCTGAGACTGTACATGGACTTCCAATTCCTCTTGCTTCCAGATACAGATAATTGAGTCAGGCTTCTGAATGGCTTCCCTTTAGTGTGGACACTATAACCACCTTGTTGGGGGAGGCAGCGTGCCTGCCACATGCCTGACAGAGAACAGTTTGACCTTGACCAGCTTGTTGTGTACCCCTGAGCAGCTGGAAAAGTCTCGGAGTGCTGTGTCAGCCTGAGAAAGGAACTGAAGATAAGGAGAAAGAAGAAATATACTGTGTTTGTCAGATACCCGAACAGTGGGGGATTTTAAGAAAAGCCAATAAAGTAATAGACAAACAGCCATGTAACCAATGAGAATGGTGAATGGATAAAAGGATAAAGTATATAAGATATGGGGGGAGCAATAAAGATGG